AAAAAAAAAAAAGTAGGTTATCCTATAGCAAACTTCCAAATGCTTTTGTGGAGGGAGGAATGAACTACCTGGGAATATGAAGTTAATTTGCACAATATTTGGCTGGCCCTTGAATAGTCCCATTATTATAAAAAGAAGTAATTAGGATTAGTTAACAGGTATCGAGGACCCCTTCATGCTAAGGGCCTTTAAAAGCGGGCTTTTTCTCCTGTCCTCAAAACAACCCCAAGAAGCTGGCATTTTTACCCTGGTGTTGTTTCGCAATTTAAAGGTGCAAAACCGAGGTTTATACAGGTGAAGTGAATTACCCAAGCTTACGTAGGCGGAGAGCAGGGCCAGGACCTGAACCCAGGCAGGCCCACACGAAGCAAGAGCTGTTGTCCACTGCAGCCTTTACCAGGGATCACAGTTGCTAAGAAAAATGCGTTCTTATTATTATCCGTGCTATTTAACGCAGAGGCTGCTTTAGAGTTGCGGGGCTTTCTAGAAGTGTTTGGCTCGCAGGATTGGTCTGCAGAACGTCTTGTAAACATTTGAGTTGGTTACCAATATTTAAAACTGAGAGACGACTGCATTAAAACCCTGGATTTCTGGCGTCCTTTGGAAAATCAGAAGCTCTCGAAGCTGCGGTCCGTTTTCCGGACGCGCAAGAAGCGAACCTGGGCGGGAGCAGGAGCTCCGATCGGCCACACTCCCTGCTGTTTGTTTTCTCATTTACATTATCTGGCCCCAGTAGGCAGTTGAGCTTGTTTGTTTACCTTAAATCATTCAATCAACACAAAGCTGCACCCATTTGTTTTGGCTTGGTGAAGCAGAAGTACAGACAACGGCTATAAGCGTGGAACAAAACCGCGCTGGAGTTTGAACGACTTAATTGTGAGCGTGGTAAAGACAGTGGGACTAAGAGAATGCGGGCGTTTTCTACCATGTGACATGGGAAGCACTGCGGAGGTGCTGGAGATTTGCTACCGGGAACCGGGAATCCTAAAACCACGGGGGGGGCTCTCCGCAAGGCTCATTTTGACTAACCTCACAGTACTGAAGGAACGTCCTTAACTTCCTGATCGGATAAATTAGTAAACGGGTGATAAAATCAAGGCCGCTGAAAGGCAATGAAAATATTCAACAAAAGAAAAACAGATTATGTCATTGTTTACCTACAAAGGGTGTGTCAATCCAGTCCTGTCATATTAGCATTATAAACAACTGGTGGTCACGTGACCCATGCAAAGCTGAGGCGAGCTGTGTCTTTTAGAGAATTGTAAATTCGAAAGAAAAGGAAAGAGCAAGTGGTGGGGGAGGTGGGCTTCAGAGGTGGGCTCAAAATCAGCCATTTATGGAGACTTTTGTGAGGTGCTGAATTTGAGGCACTTCGCAAAGTCTTTTTCAGGTCCAGCATTCTAGTAAGGGAATTTGAAGCTGAGTGTGAAAAGGCTCACTTACTATACACAGAGGGTGCCCCCCAAAAATGTATATGCATTTTAAGAAAGGAAAACTGTACTAAAATTGTAATACTCAATATATACTGATAACTAAAGATGAATACAAGTCACGTTTGACTTCTGCAATTACAAGAGGTGCTCAAAGTGGTCCCCATCAGTGTCCAGACACTTCTGATTACCGCGAACTACTGCTTGAGCAACGTTGACCAAAGTGTCCACTTGGATAAATTTTTTTGGGGGGCACCCCCGGTACTTCTCTGGAAAAGTGATGTATCATTTAATGAGAACTTGCAAGAAATATAAACATGGAGATATTTTTACCACTGGGGCTGAAAAAATAAAATTTTCTCATGAAGCATTAAAATCCCCTATTATGGTTTTTTTTTAAAGGACTGGTGAGGGCGACAATTTTTTAAACTACTACTACTAGCAGATAACAGCTTTCACAGACCAACTTCAACAATGACAGTACAAGTTGTCACTTGGCATGTTAAAAAAAAACTGAGAAACAAAACAGCAAGCATGATTAGTAATAGAATAGTCATTCGTATAGCTCATGCAGAAAATAGGATTTGACAGGAAGACAAGAAGATATGAAAGATGAATGAGGGGGGAATTAAAAGGAAGTCTGTGAAGAAATATATAGGCTGTAAACCTGAGTCTGTTTATTTCTGTAAAAGGGGACTTGTTTGTTTTTTCCTGTAGAGCATATTTGTTAACACGAAAACATCCTGATGCATTGATTGGTTAAGTCTTTCTTTAAGACAGGGGGTTAGGCTCTGGGGAAAAAAATGCTTTCACCCCCATGGAACCTGTATTGAAGAGAGCAGTACCTTACTACCTTGTTAAATTTCACACCTCATTCTGGAGGTCTAGCTGGTCTTGAGATTCTGCTTCTTAAACATACTGGTGATGCCGAACCTTCTGGTCTATGGACAAGGCTAGAGGCTGATACAGGTAAGCACCCAGGCAGGTACAATAAGCTGTGCCTAGAGCTGGGCCAGGGAAATTATGGCAGACGTGGGAGGTCAATTAAGCAAGAACCGGCATCCACATAGAGACCTGAGGCGTAAGTAGGAGTTGGCCGAGCAACGAGGCCAAAGGGAAGAAGTGTGTTCCACGCCGATAGTGAAGAGCAGTGGGAAATGGTGAGAGGCAAATGGGGAGAGAAGCCACCTGAGGAGTTCGGTATTATGGCGGGAGCCGTGGGGGAGGGGGAACCCCTGCAGGTTTTAAGCAGGCGGGCCGATATGATCAGAGTCTAGAGAGCTCACTCTGGCTGTAGTGTGCCGAGATTAGTTGAGCTGAGGCTGGAGACAGTGTGACCAGTGAAGATGCTGCTGGAATTCTCACACATGATGGTACTGTCAGCAGTCACTGTTTTAACCCCTGTCTTATTAAAATTCCCATATTTCCCAACTAGGTTAGGACCACCTTCTATTAGAGCAAGACTTGATATTTTCCAGCATAAATATAATTGACACCTTTATCTATATTTGTTTCCTGAGGCTGCCATCACAAAAGTGCTGCAAACCGGGTGATTTAAAACAATAGAAATGTATTCCTGCACAGTTCTGGAGGCTGACAGTCAAGGTGTCGTCAGGGCCATGCTCCCTCTGAGAGCGCCAGGGGGAAAATCCTCCTTTGTCAATTCCAGCTTCTGGTGGTTGCTGCAACCCTTGGCAACGCTTGACTTCCAGATGTAGCACCCCAGCGTCTGTCTCGTTCTTTGTTTGTTTGTTTGTTTTTTGGTTTTGGTTTTTGTCTCGTTCTTTACATGACCTTCTCCTCTGTGTCTGTGTTCAAATGCCCCTCTTCTTATAAGGATGTCAGTCGTTAAATTAGGGCCCACACCAACCCGGTATGACCTCATTTTAACTTGATGACATCTGCAAGGACCCTATTTCCAAATCAGGTCACATTCACAGGTTGGCAGGTGTTGGGGGGTAGTGGGGAGTTAGGACTTCAGCATATCTTTTGAGGGACTCAGCTCAACCCATAACATCTCCCTTTACCAATTGCCTTTTTTAAAAAGTTCTGTATATTCCTATACAGTTTTCATCCTATTTGTAATTCGCATATTTTAGAAACCAAAAGCCCCTTAGTAAACATGACAATGGATTTACGCAGCCTGAAATTAAATTCAAAAGCAGTATAGAGAATGGAAGAAATGAGATGACTCCTGAGGGAACAGGTTTAGAAGAGGTTTAGGAGATCTGTCAGCCACAGAAAATATGTGCACTCTGCACATCTGAAGTTGGAGGTTGTAGT